AATTAGAAGAAGCAAATATAGCCAGAGGCTCTGATGACGAATCTGTGTTGTTGATGGCCTCTGAATCTGATAATGTGGATCTGACAGACTGGTGGTATATGGACACTGGCTGTTCAAATCATCTTACTGGAAACAAGAAATGGCTGGTTGACTTTGACTCTGAAAAGAGAACAAAGATCAGATGTGCTGATGACAAATATCTTAATGCAGAAGGTATGGGAAATGTCAGAGCGACTCTGAACAATGGGAAAATAGCATTGATTCAGAATGTGTGGTATGTACCTGGCATCAGAAGCAATTTGATGAGTGTGGGACAATTAATTGAGAAAGGTTTCTCAGTTACCATGAAGGACAATCTTCTGAAGCTGTATGACTGTAATCAGAAGTTGATTATGGAGTCAGAACAGGGAAGGAATAGAACATTCAAGGTGAATGTCAGAACTGCAGACTCAGAGTGTCTTAGTGCAACAAGTACTGAGAAGGAGAGTGAGCTGTGGCACAGAAGATTTGGTCATTTGAATTTCAGAAGCTTACAACATCTGAATTCAAAGAAATTGGTACATGGAATTCCTGCAATTAAGAAGCCTGAAAAGTCATGCAAAGTTTGCATGGAAGGAAAACAAACAAGATTGCCATTTGCATCAGAAGTTGCTCCAAGAGCAAAACATGCCTTGGGAGTTGTACACTCTGATGTGTGTGGTCCATTTCCAGTAGCGTCAATTGGAGGGAATAAATACTTTGTGCTATTTGTTGATGAATTCACAAGAATGACATGGGTATCCCTTATTAAATTTAAACATGAGGTGTTTGATAAATTCAAGAAATTCAGAATGAAGGCTGAGAATCAGAGTGGTCAGAAGTTGAAGATTCTTAGAACTGATGGTGGAGGTGAGTATAACTCCAAAGAGTTCCAGAAGTTCTGTGAGGAGAATGGAATTGAGCATGAGGTTACTGCTCCTTATACCCCTCAACACAATGGTCTTGCTGAAAGAAGAAACTGTACTTTGCTTGATATGGTGAGAAGCATGCTAAAGGAGAAGAAGCTTCCTCAGAAGCTCTGGGGAGAAGCTGTTGCCACTGCAACGTATGTACTCAACAAATGTCCTACGAAGAAGTTGAAGGAAATAGTTTCTATGCAGAAGTGGACTGGAGACAAGCAAAGTGTTAGTCATCTGAAGGTGTTTGGTTCTGTTTGCTATAAACATGTTCCAGAAGCCAGAAGACAGAAGCTGGATGATAGAAGCAAAGTGATGATTCTGATAGGGTGCCACAGTACAGGTGCATACAAGCTCTATTGTCCAGAAACCAATAAAATTGAATTCAGCAGAGATGTGATTGTGAAGGAATCAGAAGTTTGGAATTGGGATAAGTCTCAATCTGATTCTGATGTTAGAACTTCTGAAGAAAGGTCAGAGTTAAGAATTTCTGAAGTTGAAGTAAACTCTGACGTTGATTCTGACTCTGATAGTGATTCTGACTCTGGAGAAGACTCAGAAGATGAAGGTGACTCTGATGATCCAGACTCTAATGGTAATCTAGATTCTGGTGGAAATTCAGACTCTGAAGATGGCCAAGACTCTGAAAATATGCCAGATCTTGAAGATGGTCAAAGCTCTAGAGGAAGTCAACCATCTGAAGCTGGAAACTCTGAAGCTCGAGACTCTGAACAAGTTCAGAGACCACAAAGAATCAGAAGCGTTCCCAGAAGATTTGCAGAATTTGACATGCTGCAAGACACTGAAGTAGACTCTGAAGGAGAAGTTATTCAGTGTGCCATGTTAGTAGACTCTGAATCTATAAGTACAGAGGAGGCTCTTAAGCAGAAGCTCTGGCTGAAGGCCATGAAAGAAGAACTTGATGCTATAGAGAGAAACAAGACTTGGAAGCTGACAGAACTTCAAAAAGACAAGAAAGCCATCAGCGTCAGATGGGTTTTCAAGCAGAAGTTAAAGCCAGATGGCTCAATAGGCAAACATAAAACAAGGTTGGTAGCCAGAGGATTTCTACAAAAACCTGGGCTGGATTACTCTGAAGTGTTTGCACCTGTAGCAAGACATGAAACAATCAGAATGGTGATTGCAATAGCTGCTAACAGGAATTGGCCTCTGATGCATTTAGATGTAAAATCTGCATTTCTGAACGGTCCATTAGAAGAAGAAGTTTACGTGTCACAACCTCCTGGATTTGTGAAAAAGAATCAAGAAGGGATGGTGTACAGATTATACAAAGCTCTATATGGATTGAAACAAGCGCCCAGAGCTTGGAATCAGAAGATTGATTCATTTTTCAAGAAGCAAGGCTTTCAGAAATGTGAGATGGAGTACGGTGTCTATGTTCAGCATACTTCTGAAGGCAATATGACTCTGGTATGTTTATATGTTGATGATATACTGCTGACTGAAAGTTCTGAACAGGAGATAACCAAGTTCAAGAAGGTTATAATGAATGAATTTGAAATGACTGATCTAGGCAAAATGACATACTTTCTAGGGATGGAGTTCAGATATTCTGAGAAAGGTATCATTTTGCATCAGCTCAAGTATGAATTAGAACTTCTGAAGAGATTTGATCTGAAGAATTGTAAGATGGCTGTCACACCTTCAGATACAAATCAGAAACTGGATTCTGACTCTGATGGAGAAGATGTGGATGTTACAACCTTCAAACAGTTGGTTGGTTCTCTGAGGTATCTGTGCAATACCAGACCTGATATTTGCTATTCTGTTGGGATGGTTAGTAGGTTCATGAGTAAACCTAAGTGGTCCCATTATCAAGCTGCTGTCAGGATTCTGAGGTATATCAAGGGAACTCTGAAGTATGGAGTGTTATTTCCCTCTGGAAGAAAGGATGAATCAGAACTTCTGAGTTATTCAGACTCTGATTGGTGTGGAGACAGAGTTGACAGAAAAAGTACCTCTGGGTACTTGTTCAAATTTCTGGGAGGTCCTATTTCTTGGTGTTCCAAGAAGCAACCTGTTGTGGCGTTATCAACCTGTGAAGCTGAATACATTGCAGGTGCTGTTACTGCATGCCAAGCTGTGTGGATTCTGAATCTGTTGCAGGATCTGAAGATTAAAGTAAGCAAACCTCTGAAGTTGATGATTGACAACAAGTCTGCAATCAACCTTGCCAGAAACCCAGTGCTGCATGGGAGAAGCAAGCATATTGAGACAAAATATCATTTTCTGAGACATCAAGTTCAGAGTGGAGTGTTAGAAGTTGTACACTGCAGCACTCAGAAGCAGTTGGCAGATGTTCTGACGAAAGCTATCAAGACTGATCAATTTCTCAGATTAAGGGATGGAATTGGTGTTACAAGTTTTGATGGAATATGAATTAAGGGATGGTATTAGTAATAATTCATATTTTATTATATTACTTTCTTAAGCCCATAAGTTTGTTAGAGGGTATTTTAGTATTTATCTTATTCTAGTAACCCTAGTTTTAGCTTATAAATAGGGTGACAATCATTGTAACCAAAAATCATGTTTTGTAGCCGTCATTCTCTTTAATAGAATATTTCCCTATTTCATCATTTATTCTATCTTTGCACCAACACATCAAACAAACAAGAAAATAAGGGTGATATGTGATCTCTCAAAAACAAACCTGCAGAAAAAGAAAAGAGAACCAAAGCTTACGATCTTATTTGTGGAATGAGATGCAAATGATAAATAAAATTTTACGGATAAAAATTAGGGTATTACACCAGAAAAAAAAATAACTCAGATCAATTTCATCTAAATCTTTCAACTTTCAATGTTATGTTTTCAATAACTGCAAAGGAACAATTTTTGAAGTAAAACCAATTGGTAGAAAAATTACATAAGAAACTATTATTTTGTTGGAATGTTATTGAGACTCGTGAAATAAGAAAAGAGATAGAGTAAGAAGAGATAAAGTCAAATGTTAAATTAATAGATTTCATAAGATTGAAAATATTAGATTTCAAGAGAGAGAGTAAGAGACTTAACAATAAAGTAGTCTTTTTATGATACAAATGATTTTTCAAAACCAACTAGTGGTATCGCTTTTTAGGAAAGCAATTAATTATATCTAGAATTTTTTCTAAAATTAAAGATAACAGTAAATGTGTATCGAGTCATCACATAATGTTTTCGGAGAAAATTGCACTTTATCTCTGACATGTGAAGGAAGACAATAGATAACTTATAATATAATACACTTAACATGACGAGCGGATTCAATTACCGCTGGGTCTAAATTTGAAAATCGATATAAACCCTATATAAATTGCAATTTTTCATTATTCCACCAAAGACCCATTTCGAACAGCCCATAAGTAATACGGTTCGTACGGATTTCTCGGTTTGCAGGCGGTTTCTATTTTTTTTGTCCACCCCTACAACACACTACTAGCAAAATTTTCCCCATCAAAATTAGCAATATGCATAAACCATGTTTCTATACAATCATTTTTTTAATAGTTAATTATCCGTTGAATTCAATCAATTACCTATATTGATATAGATTGATGATGGAAAATCAAAAAAACCGACTAGGTCATTCATACTAAGTAAGCAAATCAAGAAAACGACAGAAAAGTAAAATTTGTTTTTTTCCTCCCATCATAAACCTCTTTCTAAGTGTTTCCACTATTCATAAATTTCGTATTAAATGTCTCATGGATTTATCTGTAATGTTTTTTGAGAAAGATGGACACATAGCTGACTTTACAAAGGAACAAGAGTAAATGCTTTTGCTGTCCATTTTGACTCTTTTTCTTTTACTACAAGCCACCTCATTTTTCGCCTTCATCAATTAAAGGAAAATACTAAATTTTATTTTATTATTTAAATTCATGTTTTCCTTTTATCTATATATACACACACATAGGTCTAATTATACAGACAAGGCAACCCCAGTTGCAGAAACTTGACTAGAAATATTTCTTAGGAACAAGAGAGAGGAATAGAGTCAAATTTCTAGGAATTGAGAAAGTTAGAGAAAGTTAGTTAGCTATCATATATATAAAAGTAATGATGGGAAGGCCACCTTGTTGTGACAAAATTGGTATTAAGAAGGGACCTTGGACTCCAGAGGAAGATATAGTTTTGGTCTCTTACATTCAAGAACATGGACCTGGGAATTGGAGATCTGTTCCCAATGGTACAGGTAAAAACAATTCATCATCATCATCAAGAAATTTGAATCTAAGAAATAGTTTCAGCTATGTTTGAAGCCACTTCTTCTTCAAGATTCATACAAATAGTTGTTGATAATCATAGCTATTAATCTACTGCGAGTGTAAATTGCAGTTAATTGTTAATATTATATTTACATTCTTTCCGGAACTTGAATCCTCAAAGTTTAATTTCTTTTAATTTTTACTTCAAGTTCAAATCAGGTGAATCTTGTGTTTTTCTAATGTTTGTGTTTGATTTTTTATACAATTTATTGATTTTGAATTTTTAGGTTTGATGAGATGTAGTAAAAGCTGCAGACTTAGATGGACTAATTATCTTAGACCAGGTATCAAAAGAGGTAATTTCAATGATCACGAAGAAAAAATGATAATTCATCTTCAAGCACTTTTGGGAAACAGGTACTAATATCATCCTGTATTTATCATTCTCTATTACCACATTCTCTTAGAATTTTTTTTATTCCAAAGTTTAGTTGCGTAAACCAACTAATTTGTTTATAATAAAGCCAAATTTTGACTTTTGATTCCTAAAATTTACACATGAATTAAGTTTGAGATTAGTGATGCTAGTCTCTCTCATTTTGTGAAATACTATCTATCAAATCTCAACCATTGAATTTTATTATTGGCTTATTGTAAGTGTTCACTTTTACAGCATTTTAGAACAAATTCTGAAATAAAATAGAAAATATGCATAAAAATTTTCCAACTCGAATGATTAGTCTCTCCGGTCACACGCTAAGATGATTTCTTATTTATACACACAAAAATAAAAATAAAATATCTGTTTTATTGAATTTTGTAATCAATATTTTGTATAAAGATTCTGACATGAATTGTTCCAGATGGGCTGCCATAGCTTCCTATCTTCCAGAGAGGACTGACAATGACATAAAAAACTACTGGAACACACATTTGAAGAAAAAGCTAAACAAGAACCAAATAGGGAATGACAATAACAACAATGAAGAAGAAGGAAACTCTTCTTCTTCACAGGTAAAAGGCCAATGGGAAAGAAGGCTTCAAACAGACATCCATACAGCAAAACAAGCTTTATGTGCAGCACTTTCTCTCGACAAATCCTCAACACCTCTTTTACCCGAAAACGAAACCACAACACAATTCCCGTATGCATCCAACACTGAAAACATCGCTAAATTGCTTGAAAAATGGATGAAAAAACCACAAAAAAACTCAGATGATATGGTAGCTACTACAGGTTCAAGTTCTAGTGAAGGTGCAAAGAGTAATGTTGCACGCACACAAAAAGATCAACCAACTTTTGATTCTTTGTTGAGCTTTAACTCATTTAATTCTGATTGTTCTCAATCCGTGGTTGAAGAAAGTAACAACTTGACAACGGATTCGTGTTTCTATCAATGTGAAAATAAGCAATACCATGAAACTCAAGCCCCTCTCATGTTCTTGGAGAAATGGCTTTTTGATGATGGGAATCCTCAGTGCAATGAAGATATAATGAACATATCATTGCAGGAAAATACATCAGGGATGTTTTAATTAAAAAAACTCAGATGATATGGTAACTACTACCTGTTCAAGATCCACAGTACTGCATTCAATTCTGGTTCCAGAACTGAAATATATATATTAGACAAAAATAAGTTTATATATGTTTTAGATTTTGTTGCAAGGATAAAGAAGTAGAGACTTTGAAATGAAAGAATATTTTCAATATTGTCGTCTCTAGTTTTTTTTCTTCCAGTAATTCAATTTTATCTTTTTTAATTTTTCTTTCTTGTTTTGTGTGATATAGATGTTGTCCATGAAACTATATGGCTATAGTTCTAACTAGAAATGTAACTCACAAGTGAAACAAAAAAGTGTATATTATAATTAAGTACATGTATATTGTTAGCTATGTTTTATATCAATTGTTAGAATTTTTTTTTTTTTAAAATAACCATATTTTTCAATTAAAATATCAATTAAGTGGAGAATTCAAAAAAAAAATTTAAGTGGCTATGAATCTTCATTAAGATGCCATATGAAATGGTTGATTAAGTAGGCTTCCAAGTGAGTCGTCATTTCATATAGTGTATGCCTTTAAATCTTAGCTCTAACCCACAGAGAAGGCGTCATACCATATGGCGCCTCAATTGAAGCTCTTTTTTTATATATATTATTTAATATTTTAAAAAAATAATAATAATTAAAAGAAACAATAAATAATAATATTTATAATATAAAAAAAACAAAAATATGTACAACAGATGAAAAAAGGAAAATCAATGATCGACTCTATCTAAACGACCACCAGTTCCACATTGGGGAGGATTCGCGCGGCTCGAGGTCTACCACGAGGTTGTTGAGGTGTATTTGGTCTTTGCGTGTTGACCTGTGGAAGAGGTATTTCTTGAGATGGCCCTAGCGTATCAGACAAATTTTGAAGCATTTGACCCCAATAGTTGGGCGAGCCGTTGTCAACAGCGCTTCCGTAATTAAGTTCAATGCCCATGTTTTCGTAGTTTTGTCGGAGAGGTTGGGTCGGGTGTGGACGGTATGGTTGTCCGAATTGGTACATCGAATTGGTTTGAAAATGATGTAATGGTTGCTGTGGGGTTTGGTAGTAAAAAATTGGATAGGTATTTGTTGGTAGGAAGATTGTGTGTTCATTCGTAGGGGGCTATTGTTGGCTGGTGTAGGGTCAAAAGAGTTATTTGAGCTATAGGTGGATGAGGTAGGGTCAAAATATGTATCGGGGCTATATGCGGAAGTGGTGTCAATATCGATAGGTTGGCGGTAGGGGTAAGACTCTTGTTATTGTGATTGGGTTGGTGGCATATATGGGTTGCAGTTTTAGAAGATTGATTGGGTGGGCATTGTTGGATGTTGGGTATAACATGGTGTTTGATGTTGAGCATTGGGTTGCTGCTGTGGGTTTGAGGAAGACGTGTGTTGCCTTGGGTTAATCAAATATGTCGGCTCAGACAAAAATTGTTATGATGTTGTAACCGACCTTAACCAAATCATATATTTATAACTTTGTCTAGCCTCTTCCACAATAGGGTCGGTTAAGATGTGTCTATGTCGGTTCTTCCAATGCAGACACATCTCTTTTGCAATGTCCTTCCAATGATTTACACTCTATTGTGTATCCACTCTTAGTTGATGCCAGTCTCCCAAAGACATCAGAGCAACTGGAATATCCTTATGCATCCCGAACTGCAGTTTCACCCGATCACTTTGGTGCATCTCCACTATAGTGAACCGAATGATAGGTGTTTTAGCTGTCCACACAACAACATCATTGGCATCGGGCTGATGGTCAAGACCCTCGTACGACATCCAGAAAAACTACATTAAAAATATATTTAATGAGAAAAACAACAACGTGGTTATTAAATAGACAAAGTAATGGGACATTGTTGGTAGATAAATTATATCGTCTGGCCCAATGTGTTCTATAAGGTTGCGGTAGAAGATTATAAAGTTCCTAGGACATCTTTGGTAATTCATTCCCGGAACAGACCATCTAAAAAAAGAGACACGAATAAATTGGTTAATGAGAAACATTGCACAATTAATTAACTTACAAAGAAAAATCATTTGTATACTCGTATTGAAAATAAACTTACTTGTTAGCATAGGGGAATGTGAATGGATTCCAGTTAATTAGGGCAAGTGTTGGCATTCTAGACCAACCCCACGCTCGAAGGAGATAGGCGCAACCATAAAAAGTACACGAATTTTTTTTTTTTTTTACATTTTTACATAATGAACTATATAGATGGACGAGGACAGCTGAACCCTAATTATATGTGCACACTTTATTAATGTTGTGCAACCACGGTAAATACATAATATTTTACACTATTTCCAGTACTTTTTGGAAATAAAAAATGGCCAAATAATATCATAATATAGCACCGAGTTTTAAGTATCTTCTCATACTCGGTGGAGTCCTCATTTAACACGATATTATTGTAGTATTCTCTAAGGTATTTCAAATTAATTCCTTGCCCCCTCGGTCAACCTTCACGTTGTGGCTGAGGTGTTTCTACACATAGAGGGGCGCCTAGTAAATCTTCGCAAAGTTGGTCATTAACACCAACTTTGCCGTTGACGGTCTTACCGTTGATGTGTAGGCCAAGTAACATGTAGACATCTTGTAAAGTGACAGTACATTCACCAAAAGGAAGGTGAAATGTGTGAGTTTTTGGTCTCCATCATTCTAGCAACGCTAGAATAAATTTGGGATCCAGTGAGTACGATTTGATTTTTATCAAATCACCAAACCCACATGCTTCTAGGTATCCTTCTATGAATGGGTCATGTGGTATGTAGACATGCACACGACAGCGAAACCTTGATACATTCTGCAAAAGAATATAAATATCATTAGTTTTAAAGGAAAATTCAACTAGGTAAAGAATGATTAAAAAAAAGCAAAATACTTACAAACTCTGCGATGTTCTCAATTGTTCCTCTGTGATCGTTGTCCATTGTGAGTAGAGACATTGTGGGTTAAGTTTGATGAGTGAAGTTTGATGAGTGAAATTTGATGAGTGAAGTTTGCAGAGTGATGAGAAGATTTTGTTGAACGTTTGAGGAGTAGAGTTTGTAATGTGATGAGAAGAGTTTGTTCCTTGATGAAAATGTATTTATAATGGTTAAATGTGATGAGAGGAGTCACATGAAAATGCATGCTGAAGTGTGCAAGTTTTTAAGTTTAGGAGTCGCATGAAAATGCATGTTGTAGTTGTCGCTACTGCGAAAATCGGCGCCGGCTTGACAGGAGAGTCGCCACCGTGCGTTATTTATCCCTCAGAGCGGGAAAGGAAACGCTCGAAGTAAACCTCGCAAAGACGGGAAAAGGTATGGTCATCGCAACCAAAACCTGGATTCGGGAGTCGGTTACGCAAGGGGAAGGTATTAGCACCCCTCACGTCCATCGTACTCGATGGGATCCACGCTTGGTGTTTATAGGTAAAAGGGTGTATTATCTATCTACGCTAATGGCTGGTCTGAAAAGAAAATAAAAGGACAGGACTCGACAGAACATACGGTGTTCTGGGCCTACGTATTCCCTCGTGCAATGGGAAAGTCAGAGTCAACGTAGTTCGACTTCCTACGTCTAAACGGGGGAAAGGTTGCTCGCCAGGACATCGCGTCCTGTGCCTACGTACTTTCATCGGGAATGAAAGATCAGAGCGAACGTAGTTCGGCTAACTACGGGTAAACAGGGGCTCTCACACAGCAGTGAGAAAACAAACTAGTCTCTAAGGCTCGGGAACCTACAACTACGATCTGGTCTCAAATGCACTCGGGCAGGAGAAAGGGATAACAATTAGTCGTTAGCGGGAAAGTCTCGATCGCACAGCCGCGAGAGAACAAAGGTTAGTCGTTAGTGTGCTCGCTAGGATATCGCATCCTATGCCTACATATCTTCGTCTGGAACGAAGAATCAGAGCAGCTGTAGTTCAGCTAACTACGGGTCAAGCTACTCAAACGCTCCTACAGAGAGGAAAGGGAAACCCTAGAACTGTAGCTGAGAAACAGGGGAATCTACCTACTGCTATCACCTGGCTGACTACCCTAATGTCTATCATAACAACTCCGCAACGGAGAAGTCAGAGCTCCTAAGGGATCATGGCAACAGGACTAAACTACAAACAAGAAATTGCACAGTAAAGAAATACTGAAAATATGCATGAATGCAACAACTAGACAAACAAGGCGCGAAGGCCGCAACCCACAAAGGCAAGGGAGCTCAGCTCTACCAAATACCAACAAGCAAAGCCACGCAATAACAAACAAGCAGAAGGAGGACCACCTCAACTTCTCATGCACACACAGTCTACTTCTAAGATGCATCTACTCAGAAACTATCTAGATGAACCTAAGTCTAATGCAACATAACATCACACAAGTCAAACAATACAAAGAGACTAACCCTAAGCAGGGCCTCTAACAAACCTGAAACAAGCTCCTAATCTAGCTCTAAACAGAACTCTATGCCACACCTCTAATCAAAACCCTAAGCAAGGATCTAAACAAACTCCTAGGCAAGAGGAATCAATCCCATTCTCCAAGCTTCAGAACAAGCTTACCAGAGAAAGGAAGCTAAGCAGACAAGCTCATAGTGCCTTCCTCAGGAAAGTACCAGGAGGTTACTACTCAGGAGTCATATCCTATGCGGCTCGACAACTGTGATCAGTTTACATTCCTCCTCGGGAGAAATTAAACTCACATGAAGGCTCCGGCATCACGGGATACTTGAGAAATACCTATATGCACTAGGGGAACTAAGTGAGCAGACTCATAGGACCTTCCTCAGGAAAGTACTAGGAGGCTGACACTTAGGAATCGTATCCTACGTGGCTCAACAACTGTGATCAGTCTACATTCCTCCTCGGGAGAAATTAAACTCACAAGTTGGCTCCAACATCACTGGATACTTAAGAAAACCTAGACAAACTAGTGGAACTAAGTGAATAGACCCATAGGACCTTCCTCAGGAAAGTACTAGGAGGCTTCCACTTAGGAATCGTATCCCA